CAGTAGCCTAGTGGCTAAAGTTCTCTCCTTGCATGCCTCAGGATCCCATATGGGTACCGGTTCATGTCCCAGTGGTCCCACTTCCCATCTAGCTTCCTGCTTATGGCCTGGGAAAGCAGCTGAGGATGGCCCAAAGCCTTGGGGACCGTGTGCCCAAGTACGAGATCTGCAAGAAGCTCCCAAGTCCGGATTGGCTCAGCTCCGACCAATGCAGCCATTTAGGGAATGAATCAGAGGATGAAAGATCTTCCTCTCTGTCTTTCCACCTGTCTGACTTTCCCATAAAAATAAACAAATCTTTAAAAATAAACATAAAATAAAATAAAACACCTTGACGGATGCTGGAGAACCTAAGCAGAGCCATAGAGGGGCCTGTGTCAGTGCTGGGATGGGGGCAGCCTGAACCTCGGCTTGGCTGAGACAGCACTGGAGTGAACCACACAGCTCAGGCGTTAGTCCTAAGAACACAGGCAGTCTTCCATGGGCCTTTGCAGTCTGACCTCCTGCAGGAAATCCAAGAATCTGAAAAGTGCTTGAATTTCGTACATGCCTCTAATTCCTTTGCTTTGCCCGCGCCACCTCCCTCCCCCGCCTTTAAGACGAAGTTAGAGATCTTCCATCTACCAGTTCACTTCCCATAACCTGAACTGGGCCAGGCGGAAGCCAAGAGCCTGGAACTCCGTCCAGGTCTCCCACATGGGCAGGGCTGAGGACAGGTACTCTGTGCTGTCTTACCTTCCCAGGCACAGGGCACTGGATTGGAAGCAGAGCAGTGGACTTAGCCTTGGTTGTTGAAAACAATCTCAGTCGCTGGAGCATTTGTGTGATTGTTGGTGGCTTGTTGGAGAAGATGGGAAGAAACCTCAAGACTCCCACCGTGAACGCATCTAGCGGGAGGTGGAAGTGACCACTTCCGGCCCAGATCACATCACTGCTGCACAGGTGGCTAAGAGCAAGAGTTCCGCAAGGGAAGACGGAGCTGGGGGATTCCTGGTCATCTTAACTGTTACGGGTAATGGGAGATGGGTTTAACCAGTCAGGCCAGGAAGTAAGAGAGAGAGTGAGAGAGAGAGAGAGAGAGAGAGAGAGAGAGAGAGAGAGAGAGAGAGAGAGAGAGAGAGAGAGAGAGAGAGAGAGAGAGAGAGAGAGAGAGAGAGTGTGTGTGTGTGTGTGTGTGTGTGTGTGTGTGTGTGTGTGTGTGTGTGTGTGTGTGTGTGTGTGTGTGTGTGTGTGTGTGTGTGTGTGTGTGTGTGTGTGTGTGTGTGTGTGTGTGTGTGTGTGTGTGTGTGTGTGTGTGTGTGTGTGTGTGTGTGTGTGTGTGTGTGTGTGTGTGTGTGTGTGTGTAGGGCCGCATGGTTCCCAACCAGACACAAAAGAGCCTGCTGAACCCTCATTCATGTAACCACACCAGTGCTTTGTAGACCAGTTAAGGACTACAGCTGTTTCCAATCAAAATTTCCTGTTTCCTCCTTGACACAGTTGTCTGTTGTTTGCCTAGAAAAAAACCCAGGTATAAAAGTCTCATTGTGTTTCCATTGTGTTTTTAGTTGCTAAAAAGGCATCTGTGCCCTGTGGGGAATGTTTTTAAAATATCACACCCCCCCCAACTAGATTTCACACCAACACCCACATCTATTGAAATAAATCCTCCCTCCTAGCAATCTCCAAAAATGAGCGTGGGGGAGATGTTGGGATATGTAACGAAATAGGTACCTGTTTTTTTGTTTTTCATATTCTGTGTTGTGTTTATTGTTCTCTGTTAGAAACTTGATTTCTGGAAATCTCCATGGCCTTTTTCTGGATGGTGTTTGAATGTAGATGGTTGCTTTTTAAGGAGAGTCGGGGTGTTTGCCTATTTCTGTTTATTTGGAGGGTGGAGTGGGGGGGGGGACACATCAGTTGTCATGCCCATGTCAGTTTCATGAGGATTTAGTGCCTATTTAGATTGGCATTTAGTATAAAAACTGGTATACATTTGATCCTTAGTGCCTAAAGGTAAGCTTTTGGTAGTTATGAAGAGCCACAGGGGAAAGACAGCACAGAGGTGGAGACGGTCCAACTGAGTGACAGCTCAGCTTGACCAATGGGAGGGTGTGGAGGTGAGCCCCAAGTTGGGGAGCTGAGAGATGGGCTTTGGATGCCATATGGAGGGCTTTGGAAAACCACCTAGAAGTGCTGTGGCCAGATGAAGTAAGTAGTAGTGGTTACAGAGAAACTGAGAGATGGGACCAAATGCCCAACTCAGGGAGTGTCACATCCAGGTTGCTGGGTTTTCTGAAGATTGGAGACCTGAAGAGTGAAAAAAAAAAAAATGACTTGAGTCTGCATGAAAACGTGAGAAGTTTTCCCTTGCTCACTAGGATGTATATAAGCTTCAGGTCAAGTAAATGAAACTAAAATATTGTTATTGTTTTTTTTTTAATCACTACTTTTGTTGGCTTGTTTATAAGATCTATTTAGAGTTTTCTAAACTTGGTTACTATTGGAACAGTGAATTTGGCTCTCATTTGTTACACAGCCTAGGTTTTTGCAACCGGACATATTTAAGATAACATAGTTGTAAGCTTAGTTGTTTCTCTGGGTTTGTACCTAAAAGGAAAACAGATTCTCATCTATTTTGGAATGAAGTAAAAAGGAAAGGAAAAATCACAGAAGTACTGCAGTTCTTGAAAATGTTGCTTTTTGCCGGGGTATAAGCTTTTGATAAAGTTATACCTGTTCACGTCCTTTCTACTCAAGTGGGCCCCATGAGTGACTATCTGAATACCATTTTCCTGGATGAATTTTTGGACATTTTATTGGCCTTTCATTTCCTTACCAGCATAAAATAAGAGAAGGACATGGTGGCAGGGTATATTTGTGTTAGGGAAGTCGCATGGGATTCTGTGTCATCCAAAGAGGTGTTCTAGTGGAAATATATTTTGTGCCCTCTTGTCATGCCATTCTCTTTTAATAACAAAAAAAAAATCAGTAACATGCTGTGACTAGGTGACAAAATCAGCTACTGAACTGGTGTGTAAGGTTTTAGATGGGTGCCACCCCTGTCATGTCTGAACTTAGCCAATAAAGGGAGGACATTAAAAATTTCTGATTCCTCATCATATATTAAGCAAAATATTAAGAAAGCAAGCACAATTATTTTTTTAACCAGGCTCATTGAGAATAACCTCTACATAGCCAGAGGAAGCAAGTTATTTAAACAAATTTTTTTTTAGAACTAACAACCTTTGTTCTTTTCATATCTACCTTTGGGGAAGGAAGAAGTCATGATAATAGGGAAAACGCAATTCTTCATTGTAGAAGATAGATTGTTGAGCTCTTACGTGTTTTCCTAGAAATGTAATTTAAAATGAAATATTTTATAATTTCTTTGTTCCTGACTGAGAGACAAGACATGAAGAAGATTATAATCTCAGATGACGCAGTGGACAGTTCTGCATGTTTTGTGTTCAGCGCCAGCGTTAAAGTGCTTCTGAGCTCATGTCACTCCCTTCTTAGTCCCCAGTTGTGCTTTAATTTGTATATTTGATAATGCTAGTTTCATCACCATGCCAAACACATTCATAAGCATAAAACATTGTCATGCCATTTATGTCTACTCTAGGGCATAATTCCTTTTGGTTTGGAGATTAACTAATTTGTCTGGGTTGGTGGTTTTCTCTTTGGTGCATTCCATAAAGAAAAAAGTTCCTGTTTGCTATAACGAATTTGAGTTTTCTTCATTAGCTTTCTTTGAAGGTCAGGGAACTCATAAAATAATAGGTGAAAAAATGCTTTAAAACCATAAATTTACTAAACCAGAAGCAAGATGAGTGTTTGATATGACCACTGGTGTTTCACTTCCAGCTTGGGGGAGATGCCCAATGAAGATTTAGATCTGGGATTAAATTGAGCAATGAGGAGACCTTTATAAAACTCGTGAATGGTCTTACATAACTGAGTGCTCTGATAGCCCGAGGAAGTTGGGAAGAGAGTTGAAAGCAATATTCTTTGTACAAACAGAGAAACTAATTATGCGCCCAGGACCTCCTCTGTGAGTCAGTGTTAACCGGATTGTAAATATGTGCTTGAGGAAACTTGAACACGGCCTGTCCTTGCTCTTGGCCTTTCTGTTTATCAATACTATCTACAAGATGTTAAAACCACAGGGCAGAGGAAGCTTTCCTCGGCATTCCGGCCTGCCAAGATTGTGGGATTTATTAACTTCGTGCCCTCTGTCTTACTCTCTCCTCCTGAATTAAGACCTGTGCACCAAAATACACATCATACCACATCCAGGCTTAAAAAAAAAAAAAAAGGCGGACTGAGTTCTCCACTGGGTCATTTGCAAATTGCTTCAACAGCCAGGCTGGACCTAGCCAGATCTCCCACGTGTGTGTCAGATTCCCAGCTACATCAGTGCTGCCTCCCAGGATCTGCGTTAGCAGGAAGGGTGATTCACAAACTGGAGCTGGAGCTGGGTGTTGGGCCCAGGTACTCCACTGTGGGATGTGGGGTGCACTTACTTAGCTTACCACCAGGCTGAAGCCCACCCCCAAACTCAGCTTTTAGACAGCCACCCACTAACGTCAAGAGCATCTTCCCTGTACACAGCTAAGCCCTTTTCTGGCAGTGACGGAGAGCACTTGGTTACCATTTGTTGAAGTGAAAATTAAAAGCAGGTTAGACCACTTACTCCCTCTTCAATACACTTGTTACACCCATTTTCATAATCATGTGACGGTGCATTTCAGAAGCAGCTGCGGAGTCATTTGCTGCTTGGACCTCATTTGGGGGGTGTGTGTGTGTGTGTGTGTGTGAGAAAGATGTATCATGTACACTTTCAAAGTCTGAAATGATGCATGCAAGTTTAGATCATTTGAATTCAGTGGAGTTTTTTAAACCAACTTTTCTGCTGAAGTCATGTTTTGTCCTTAACAAAATCAAAGTGTCTTAAGGAAAAGAAGCTTGGTGAAATACTCATGGCTAACGGTTTTTGCCTTCCATCTGTTCTGTTCCAGAAATTGAAGCCAAGGAAGCTTGTGATTGGCTACGGGCGACTGGTTTCCCCCAGTATGCACAGCTGTATGAAGGTGAGTGGAGACTGCCTCGTGTGAATCTCGGCACCATCATCATTCTTAGTTCTTTTTTAAACTTTTTAAATTTAATTCTTAGTCCTTGAATACTGTTGAGATCAGCGACGTGCTTTCAGACCACTCTATGAGTTATTTGAATATTTCATTTAAAAATTATCTGGTAAGCCCCCCCACATCCATACAGAAGCTAAGATTCTTAGAATAGCACACCCACCTGCTTCCCCATTCTGTTGCTTCTCAGAAAGCAGCCAGCATCCTGAAGCCTCTATCGAATTCCTGCTCTCTGTGTCTTGAAAACAAGTGTATTTGCTAAAAAGTACATTTTAGGGCATTTTGCACTTTTGTGAAAAGGGTCTTGGGCTGCGTGTAATCTTGGTGGGATTTTATCTTTTCACTCAGTATTCTAAGATCCTTCTTTGCTGTACGTGCCTGTAGTTCATTTGCATTGACTGACCCCTAACGTGTTAGCACTCCCTTGCATGGAACCACACACAGGTCATTCTCTTTCAGCCTTCTCTGATCTACTTTTCATATTTCAAGTACTCTTGCACCTATCTCTTGCAATGTGTATGGAATACTTTGCCTTGCATACCTACCACCAATAGAGTAGATGAATGAGAAGTAATACAGATGGTCAGTTTTATAATGTAGGTTTTTCCAAGTGCTCAGGCTGATTTTTTATCTCACCAGTAACGTATATACTATGTATGTATGTCCATATACACTCTCAGACTTGTATTGTTGCCTGTACGAGGGTAACATATGCATGTGACTTCTGCATCCCAACCCGTTGATTCGTTTGGCCATTGGTGCCTGCTTCCCGGGGACATGTCTCTGGCCTGTTTTACTTGTGAGTTGGCTGTTGTTTTTTCAGTGATTTATGACAGCTGTTTCTGTTGGTTGAGTTACAGGTAGCCCCTCTCCCCTAATTTTGTAATTAGCTGTTTCACTTTCATTAGGTTGAATTTTGGTAAATATTGTTATTTTTCTTTGCATTTGATTTATTAAAGAAATATCTGCCTTTTAAAAAAGATCAAGAATTGGGAAGGAATTTTATCTCGTTTTCTCGTCAGTGGAGCTGGAACCACTGGATGCTGTGATGAATGATGAAGAGTACAGCATTACCCTGGGTGGGGAGTGTGTGCTGTGCTCTGTGCATGTTCAGAGGGATAAACTGTTGGCTTAAAATAAAGGTTTTGTTATGTTCTTTATGAAATCATATAACTGAGCTGGTCATTTTCAGGCAGGGTGAGCAGCGGAATGGTTCCTAGTTTTCCATGCCTGATCTTTCTCCTCATAAGCTGGACTGACCGTTTATTTTCCATGGAGATGAATTCTGATTTATTCACATGTGAGATGGCATAAAATATCTTAGTACTTCTCTGTTTCAGAAAATACTGTTTCTTTTTCTTGCCTTTTTATATAGGTATTTGGTTCATCTCATGCTTTATCTTGCTCATCTCGCCTTTGAAGGGTTTCCCACGTGTTAAATGGCTTGGGAGAAGGCAAACCGACCTTTATTCTGTTAGATTTTCAATTCGCAGCTCCACTGGAGACAGGAAAAGATAATTACCTTTGCAGGGCCACTGAAGGGGCTGTCCCTTTGTTCTTCTGCTTAGAAATCACATTTCCTTCAACTATGTCCATTTTTGGTGTTGGTTTGCTGCCAGTGGCACTTTCTTGTGATGTGTGTTTGCTCAGCCCTTGTCCCTATTGCTAAAATGCAAACTACATTTTCACAAGTGATATTGGGGGCCGGTCCCCCTTTATGTGGAGACAAGTCCTTTGAAGCCTAGCCTGTGCTAGGTAGACATGACGTTCCAGGAGTCGCTCGGCCCCGGGCGTCCCGCCCCTGTGCTCAGGATGAGTGCCTGCGCACCACACCAGCCCACACATTCCTTGTCTTCCTGTTGAACTTTATTTTGGTTCTTGGCAATTTACACTTCCTGCCTTGAAGTCTAAGCTCAAAGTTAGCTTCTGAGAACACCTTCTGTACCTCAGGAAACTGTCTTTTCTTCAGAGACAATCTTTATTTAAAAAAAAAAAAAACTAGGCAAATAAATCACTCATTTCATTCCTCACTGATGTTTAATCCCTGCCGGATTTCTAAGAACAGAATTACAAAGTGAATTTGGATCAGAAAAGCAATGTAAAATGCAACTCACAGTTTACTAAATTAGAAATAATGCAGTTGCTTCCTCACAAACGTGAACTTTTTAGTACATATGTAAGGTTGGTTGTGATGCTCTGAGTGTTAAGAATGTTCCTGGTCTGACTGCTGACTGGGTTTGCATCCCAGCTTGCTGCTAATGCAGAGCCTGGGAGAAAGCAGGCGCCCCGGCCCCTGCCACTCCAAGGCAGACGCTGATGGCACTCTGCTTTCCAGGCTCCTGGCTTTGCTCTAACCTAACCCAGGTTGTTGTGGTTAGATGGGAAATGACTCAGCAGAAGACAGATTTTTTTTTTCCCTCTGTTTCTCTGTACCTCACTAAGTGAAAGTTCACATATATGCATTTTTGTATATAAATTATTTAGTTAATAATAGCACCTCTGTTACTATAGTCACTCATTTCTGAACTACCAGGCTAGTCTCTGAGGAACGCATCATTAAGCTGCTTTGCAGACATTATTATCATCTGTGTGGTCCGTTACTGACCTAAGCATCTTTAAGCAGCGCATGACTGTACTAGAGTTTTTGCTGTCTGTTACATGTGAAATATGGTGTCACATCCTTCAGTGGCTTTCCTGTCTGCATTGCTTCCCATGACAAGTGGTTGATTCTCGCTATCAGGCTCTTATTTTATTTCCACTAAACCATTGCTACTAATCATTTGACTGAAAGAGACTCTCTGCATATTAGTGAAGAAATAGAATGCTGCAAGACTAAGTTCCATGTATTTCTTCCTACATTCATGGACTCCGGCTATACTTTATGAGTCTGCCTATAATTTCCTTCAGGTATCAGTATCCAGCCTTCAGAAAGAAGAGCAGACTGCCAATCAACATCCATTATGATGGTGTTCATTACAATAGTTGTCAACATGGTGGGAAAAAGACACCTAAGTATTTTCTCTGGAAAATTAGTTACAAAGAAATGAGTTCAGTACCCTTTTGGAAAACCAGCGATCCCTTATTGGTAATGAGAGCCCTTAGTAACAGTCCTGCACTATGGACTCAGCTCAAGAACCAGAACACTGCTTACTACTTGCCTCTCCAATGAACACCCAGCCCTGTTGGTTCCAGCATGGCCCTTTAAAAGGCCGGGGGATTTTTTTTTTTTTTTAGATTATGGTATTCCTGGTTTTCTGCTGTTTGCTCCCCCCACATTCCCACTACTCCATTCCTAATCACATTTGCACAAAGGAGACCTTAATCTTGACATTGCGGAGGCATTGGGCCATTTATTTAACCCTTAAAGGTGGATCTCCAAGGAGGGTGATAACTGGACTTGACCTGCTGGCATTCTCAGAGCTGTTGTAATTTTCCATAGAGGGGCTGGGTGCTCTTCACCTCTCTGTACCTTTCTTGGATATGTTTATCTATGAGGGAACCTCTAGACTGTGTAGAGAACAGGGGTTTTCTGTGGAATTCATGTCATCAATAGACCATACAGAGCAAGGGAGTTTTCTGTGGAATTCATGTCATCTTCCTTTTTCAGTTCTAAGTCACCCTTTTCAATGTTGAGAAAGCATCGACTTCTTGACAAGTTAAGGGACTTGGGGTGCTCTTGTTTCTTCTACTGCACTTTAAAGCTAGCCCTTTGTTTTAGGGTGAGTTATATCAGTTCCTGGGAAGCCAGCTTGAAGTGCTAGTATTTGTTTAAGAAGAGCCTATCTCAGTTATCTTTAGCTCTCCATGTCAGGTAAATGGCTTGGATTCCTTTGACTACTACTTGCCTTTGGTCTCTAGATGTTTCCTTAGCCCAGTTCCTCCCCGCCTTTCCCTCCACTGTCACCCGGGACCTCTTTCTTTCCTGATCACATGTGACATGTTAACAAACACAAGCATACACAGTATAAAAAAAATAGGTAACATCCTTCTAGCTCAAGTTATAATTTGTAATCAGGGTTCATTTCCTGTTCCCTTTTTGTTCAAAATTTCTCTCTGACAAAAACCAATATTTGAGTTTCACTTTGGTGGGCACTCTTGTTTTAGGGCCCTCATACTGAAGTGTCTTGCATGTCTTTTTCTCCTATAGACTTTCATAGGAAATGAGGTCACCCATGTATCAGTAGGACCTGAATATCTTGCTTTGAAAGTCTCCTTTAGCGTTACGAAACTCTACTAGTTTAAGACAGATAACTGTGTCTGTTCTTCTTCCAGATCTCCTCTTCCCCATTGACATTACCTTGGTGAAAAGAGAACATGACTTTCTGGACAGAGATGCTATTGAAGCCCTGTGCAGGTAAATGGATATCCTGGGAGTATTTTCATCTTCTTATGAGACTAGAATATATTACTAAGGTTTGTTTGCCTGCATTCTGATTATGCAGGCCTTTGATTAGCAAATGAGACAATGATTTACTGAAAATCAAGAACCTTTTAATTTAAAATGAACTCCTTTTTCTTGGTATTGGCATGAAGACAGCATCCATCTGATCCACGAGATCCTCCAATAGTAGGATCTGCGTTTGGTACCAGGTGATTGTTGAATCAGGTTAGCCATCAGAAAGTTTGGAAACTTGGAATAGGGTTTTGTAAAAGGTAAAAGAATTGCCCACATGGGGACCCAGCACAGTAGCCTAGGGGCTAAAGTCCACACCTTGCATGCACCAGAATCCTATATGGACACAGATTTTAATCCCAGTGGCCCCACTTCCCATCCAGCTCCCTACTTGTGGCCTGGGAAAGCAGTTGAGGATGGGCCAAAGCCTTGGGAAACTGAACCCACTTGGGAAACCTGGAAGAGGCTTCTGGTTCCTGGCTTTGGATAGGCTCAACACCGGCCGTTGCAGTCACTTGGGGAGTGAATCAGCAGATGGAAGATCTTCCTCTCTGTCTCTCCTCCTCTCTATATATCTGAGTTTTCAATCAGAATAAAATTAATCTTTTAAAAAAAATTTTGCCCACATGGCCCCAGCCAGATTCTTTCACAGAGTGGGAACTGCTGCTATTATAAAAGGAAGTAACACATTCAGGGGGGTATAAATCAAGGTGGGGTTTATGATAAGTTTGAGTCTTGGAGTTAGGACCATCTGAATTCCAAGAAAGAAGCCTTGGAACCTCTTGACTTTGCTGAGGAATAAAATAGTAACAAAAGGATTAAATATGGCCATAAAAGAGCTCAGCACCGTCTTTAACCTACAGGAGACAGGCAGTAAATGAGCACTGATGTGACATGAGAATAAAGCTGTCAGAAAGTCTCCTTGCTGGAGCTGAGGAGCAGCTCCTGGTGAAGTGGAAGTAATAAAACCCGAGGCAGGCGATGATGGGACACTGATAATCCTCTCAAACTCTGCATGACGTTTTTATTCATTTTAAGCTGTTCATCCTTTGTCATTTTTCTCAAAACCCTAACAGCTTTAAAGTTAAATTTGGCAAAAATTATTCACAGAGAAAATTCACGTGTTGATTTGACTATACACTTAAATTTTCTGTTAATTTACAATATTTAATGTGAAAAAAATCACTAAGGTGGAATGACATGTAGTGTTGGGGTAATTCATAAAATTCATGGAAAAGTGGAGTTAAACTTGGTATAAAAAATGTCATGAAAAATGTATAGTAAGAAAAAAACTACTTGTGGGTTTTGGATTTTCTTTTTATATGGACTCATCTGTTAATATCATTTTCCATGAACTTTTAAAGTTACTCTCGAAGTGGCATCTTTGAAGGCCACTTTTCACATTCAGTTCAGCACTGTCTTAAAAAAAAAGCCCAGGGTTTGTGCACATTTCCTGAAAGAAATCTGATTCTGAGTCCTGTGCTTTCATTGTGTAATATCATAGCTGTGTCATCTGGAATGAAAAAATGTCACCAATGCAGGAAGAAGTCAGTATCTGGAATATGAACGACTCCAGACATTTTTTTAATGGTTTACTGCTTAGCTGTGTAAAATTGATTTGTTTTTAATTCAACACAGAGGAGAATGCAGTTGGATGAGGTCCCTTGTAAGATGCAACTGCGTAACTATTTGAGGCTTGCATTAAATTGTCCATTTCACACATTTTTAGCGATTTAGGAGATGGGCCTTCTGAGCAGCCACACAGCTTAGGAATTCCTGGGTCATGAAAGCGTCAGGACAGCATTTCAGCCCCAGGGGTCATGACTGGATTCTTGTATACTGGGTTGCGGTTGGTTGGGATTTTTGGGGGGGCTAGGGGGCGGCGTTGTTTTGGTTTTTAATTTTGAATATCAGTTTTCTGGAGAGGAGCAATACATCTGCACGGGAGCTGTGGTTCAGTGTGGTCTGGGAAACAACCTGTGCTCTGGATCTTTGGGAGAAGCATGAAGGACAGTGGGCCTCGACCTGTCTGCGGGCTCTGCAGTGCGTTCTAAATATGCAACCTTGTCTTCACTTAGACAAGCAAGGACAGGGAGAGATGCCAATGCTGCAAAAGCTGAATTATTAGGCTCATTCAGAGTGTGTCCTGAAAGCCTTAGGGTTTCTTTCTTTTTGAAGAATCTTCAGAATTCACAGTAACAACCCCCAGCTGGATTGTAGTAGGAACCCCAAGGGCTGTGACCTGCAGGCTCACCTGAGTAGACTTTTCATGGAGCTGACTCCTCCCTGTGAGAGGCCCATACAGATTTCAAAGAAGGAAAAGTTGGGAACCCTGTGACCCTTCTTTGGACTGCTTTGCGTGGTCAGCAGCTTAGCTGGGAGGCTGGCTGTAATGATGAGATGCTAATCACTCCTGTGCCAACTGTTCTCTCTGCCCTTGGCTGTGCTGCTGCTTAAGATTTTTTTTTAATTAATTTATTTTTAAGATTTAGCTATTTATTGGAAAGGCAGCGTTACAGTGGCAGGACAGAGGGAGAGAGAGACAGCTCCTTGTTCACTCCCCAAATGGCTACAGTGACTTCAGGGGGGCCAGGTCAAAGCCAGAAACCAGGAGCTGGAGTTGCCACATTGGGTGGTAGGAACCGAGCACTTGCACCTGCAACATGTTGCGCTGCTCTCCCAGGCTCATTAGAAGGGAGCTGGATCACAACTGGAGCAGCCAGGATTCAAAACTCAATGCCTGCATTTTCCAAACGGTGTTCGCATGTACGCGATGGCATCTTGCTAAGTTAAAAACATTTTGCATATCTCATAGTTCCTTTGATCAGAAACTAACAGGAGCCTGATCTATTTTAACATTTTCTACTTAGAACGAGAGGTTTGTAGATTGTATAGGAATTGTTTGAAGAAGTTATTTGATACTGTCTTAAATGTAAGTATTGATAATGACCAAAATTTGTAATTGTGGGACTGCTAGGTTTTTTGGGTTTAGGTTACTAACCTACATGGTCATGTTGTAGGCACCTATGTATGTTTTTTTTTGGAGAAGCTGGCTTTTGTCCCAGTCTTGTTGCTGTGCTATATAATCCAACCAAGATAAAGCAAGATTATAGCTAAGTTATACTAAGTATTAATCCTGGAGAAGAGATTATCTTGTTCTGAAGCATATATAGGTATATTATGCAAGCGGTTGTCTTTCTGTAGCTTTGGAAAAATCATCCCGAATTGCCCATTTCCGTAGTGGTAATTGTATAATGAAAAAATAAATACACAAACACTCTCATCTTCACCATGTTCCTTGTAAAAACAACAAGGCATTCCTTGAAACACTTAACTTATATAAAGCAAACCTCCTTATGGTAGATTTTAACTTTGATATGATTTCTGTTCTGGTAAAAGGGAAACTAGTCCTTTTTTTAAACCAGTTGTACTAATTCCAGGAAAGTATCTCTAAGAACTGGAGCAACTTTTATTTGTCAGATCCTATCACAAAATAGTTTTTCCTTTCTCCTTCTTTTTCCCTTTCCCACTCTTTTTGGGGGTGGGGGGTAGAAATAGGATGGGGCCCAGATCTGCCTGCCATGCTTTTTATCAGGGTATGTGCAGCAACGTGCAGCAAAACACAAACCTTTGCTAGCCCATCATTGGGCTCCCTCCCTCTTCAGAGCAAGAGATAAGAGGGGCACATTCCTCTGCAGCTGAGCCCTGAGCAGGCCCCGGGAGGCTGGGAAAGGCCACAGCTTCTGGACACACCAGCCTTTCAGTCACTTCCCAGGAGTGAGTCTCAGGAGTTGGGTTGAGACTGTTTATTACTGATCAAGTATTCTAGAAAGGAATGCAGAAAATGTCTTCCGGAAGGTTCACCGAAGATGCGTGGGCATTGTTTACGGAATTTGTGCTGTACCTTCATATTTTGTTTGTCAGAGACACTGTGTTTTTGTGGAGTGACCTTGGAGAAGGTGTGTGACCTCTGTCAGCCTCTGTTTTTCGTGTCAAAAAGGAAGGTGGATTGCATCTATGTTCTCAGGCATCTGAGAGGATGAAGATGAGGCAGGGCAGGTCAGGTACCAAGCATAGCACCAGACTCAGACCCTGCCTGACTGTTCAGGCTGGAACGTTTTGTTTTCCATTTTTAATAAGCATATCATAATCATGCATGTTTATGGAAGCTGGTGTAGTTTCGACATGTGTACAATGTGTGATGATCAACTTAGCATATATAGAGTACGTAGCATATGCATCACTTCAAACACAGCTTCTTGGTTTTTCTAAATATACAATCAGTTCATGTTAACTGTAGTCACCCTTCTGTGCTACGCGGCACCAGAGCCTGCACCCCCTACTTCTGGGCCTAACAACCAGCTGTCCACCCCTCCACCTGGCTGCCTCTCTCCTTCCCAGCTAATCACTGTCTCCTCTGTTTCTATGAGATCAACCTAGTTGCTCCCTAGAGCTCTTATTTAATGTCTGTACCATCTGTCAGTAGATAATAAGATCCCATAGAGGGCACTTTTGGTAGCTCCTAGGGGACAAATGAAAGCCACAGGAAGTGCCTGGGAGTAACTTTGGGCTGCAGGATTGTCATGTTTCTATTCCAGTGCTGCCAGCACAGAAAGATCACCCTTACCTTTATAAAGCTGCCCCCCTGAGTCTTACATTTGACTCCATTCTTCCCCCACCCCCAAAGTCTCCATGCCTAGTAAATTTGGTTATAAACACCACTCAGCCTTTAAAGCTTAAATGAAGTCAAGTGGGCATTTGATTACAGATTTGATTAATGAAACCCAGACCCAAGGCCAACTATAAGCATTTCACGTTCTTTAAAGCTTGAACCATTTCAGAACCCAGACACTGTGGGTGTAAAGTCATTTACATAATGGATGCCCCTCAGAGAGCAACCTCATAGGCGCTCATTTTTATAAGTCTGTGGGCTTCTTCTGGGTTATTTGTTTTCTTTCCCTCCCCATGGACAGAATGAATATTTCAGCTCTGTGTTATCTTTGTTTATGCTATAAACAGGCTACCATAGCAACTATGAAATCAAAGGCAGGCTTATCAGGCAGGCAAAAATACTTTCTATCCTAGTGCATCAGAGTTGTTAGACAAGTTGCAAGAGCAGGATCAGGAAGATAAGGCCTTGAGGAGTCTCCTGGTCAGTTTGAATTCCTGTGAGTTGAATGTACTCTATCCTGTGGAGAGATGTAACAATTGCAATATTGGAAAAATCTGGAAAGTGAGTTGGGGTGGTTTGGGTGTGTGTGATAGGAGACAACAAACAGACACATGAACGGCTCACGTGAGGAGGGCCCAGTGATCATCTGGAAGATGTTAGAAAGAATCGGGCCTGCAGGGCTGTCATTCACACTTTCACAGCCTATTTAACCCAGCATATTTCAAGGGTTTGTTTTTTCAGCTTTTGCATTATTTCCCCATGAGATTTGTTTTTAAGTATTTCATTTTCAATGAAACCAAATTATTTCCCTAATTTTAAATTGGCCTTGCTGTTTCACAAGAGTTAAGGGAAAAAAGTATGTAAAGTTAGAATATGACTCCGAGTCCAAAGAACGGCCTAAATGCTTCTTTTTAAAGGCAGTTGAGGTTGTGATCCTTGAAGTTACAGTGACCAAGGTTTTGGATAGTCATCTGTGCTGTTGCTGTGACAATACAACACATGATTCAGCCCCGTCCAGGAAGTTATACAAAGAATTGGACATTAAAAAAGACCCAGGTTTCCTCTATCTAGGAGAACGCTCTGAAATTGCAGACAGACTGCTCTGGGACAGGCATTCTAGAGGACTATGGCTTGTTTCTTTTTAACTTGAGATTTCAGAGAGAACACACTGAGCCCTGCTCTGTGACTGCGTGTCACTGTTTTGCTTCTATGCAAGGGGTCGTGCTGGGGTGGGTTTGTTGGGGCTGCCTAGGGATGCCTCCTGGCTGGATCTGGGGGTTACTGGAACCACCCACTTTCTCCCTGACAGTTGCTATTCATTCCCTGAAGCGTGAAGGGTGCATGAGAGTTGCACAGCAGTGTGCCCTTTTCTGTAAAATAGTAGAAATAAAATAGAAATGAGAAACTTGAGGAATGTAAAGCTGTTTTTAAGTGAACATTCACTTTTTAAGGAAATGTTTAGCACTGTTCTACTTACTTATTTTATTATGGATATTAATGGATTCAGGGGAAAAAATCCTTATTAAAAGTCAGTTGTTTGGCAAAAAAAAAAATCAACCCCTCAGTGGTTTCCTTTCTTGGCTGATGTTATGTTTTTGCTCACAGGCGACTAAATACTTTAAACAAGTGTGCGGTGATGAAGCTAGAAATTAGTCCTCATCGTAAGAGAGTGAGTATTACGAATTCCTTGATGGGGTGGGAGGAAATGAATGGGTAGACCAAAAGCTGGATTCTGTGTTTTGTAATAGATTGTGTTTCACAAACTATTCTTCATTGCAAAAGCTTCTGCATTTATAATCAGGTTTACCAAAGGCTACCTGAGAAGGTTAGAATCCATGGTTCCAACTCACTGATGTTTGGCTCTTATCTTGTTTTGCTTTGTTTTGTTTGACTTGAAGAAATCATCTGAAGAAATTATCTTCATTGATATGCAAGGGGGGTTTGGGGCGAAGCTGAAGGAATTCTATTGGATCTCTAAACAAGATAAAACTAGAGCTTTCAGGCATTTCTTCTGTCCTCCAAAGTACACCAGTCCCAGCATCTTAGAGCCATAGAGATGAGGGGAAGGCAGCTTGTGGGATACACCAGTCCCAGCATCTTAGACCTCAGAGATGAAGGGGAAGGCAGCTTGTGGGATACTGAGGAAGAATAAGAGAAGTAGTTGGAAGCCGGAAGGGAGTGTGAGGCTGAGAGGCAGGGGGAGCCCCAAACAAGTCAAGTGTTGGCACCTCACTGAGTTGGGTGGTGTCTTCCTCCTGCCGACCTGTGAGCTGCAAGGAACTTTTATGAACTCTACAGAGAAGAGGGTGGTACAATCCAGGGAGTTAAGTGTCACCGATTGAACAGGACTAAGTTTGGTCAAAGAACACATTTCTGACTGCCTAGAACACAGTTTTTAATTATCCAGGAGCCCTTGACCTCTACAGAGTTGCTCTCTTGGGGAATTAAACCTTTTAAACAAATGACCTGGAGCCTCAGCACCTGCTGAGCTGTGTAGATGGGTCAGCAAGTCAGCGTGGAATGCTGGCTACTCACTGTCCTGTGAAACATGGGTCATGGGATAGTGTTCACACCAGTGGGAAAGAGATGCTGCAAACGGCATTGTGCCTTTTGATATCCCACCCACAAGACCAGGGTGCAGTGGGCTGTGACAGGATGTGCTCGAGTCCTGCTCATAAATCGGTCTCATCAACAAAAATGGTCACTGCGTGTTTCCGAAGGCTCCATGCTGTCGGGCTGGTGTTGTGGGGGAAGCCTTGCTCAATTGCCTGGAGCATATCTCGGTTGGAAACATCATTGGACATTTAGGGCAAGGGCTCTAGACCCATGTCTGGTGTGGGAAGGAGGAGAGAAAAGGAAACAGGTAAGAGGCAACCAAGTGGAGAACTGGAGAGCATTCGTTGGTGGCTCATCTTGCTTGAGATCTTGTAAATTTTTAGGGTGGTAGAGATTTCTTAGTGTTTGAAAGCTACCTCTTTAATTGCAAAAGGGAATATAAACACATACTGTCAACAGGCAGCAAAGCTGGAGGCCGTCCAGAGGGAGTCTACCCGTTGCTGACTCCAGTTCAAAATATTTTGCATGCCTGGAATTTTCACTCATCTCAGAGGTTTTCCTCTGTATGCAGTTAAAGAACAGCTTATAGATCCCAGAGCTTCCATAAAATAGCTCTTATATAACCCGTAGCACTTGATCTTGGCTTTTCTCCTATTGGAGACTTTAAATGCATCTCTGTTATTTAAGAAAGAAGAGAGGAAGGGGGCTGGTAAGGGCCCTGCTCACCCCTGCTCCCCATTATCCGCTGGTCCCAGAGTCTGAGTACCCCCTTTCTTTCTTTACAGAGTGAGGATTCTGATGAAGATGAGCCTTGTGCAATAAGTGGCAAGTGGACTTTCCAGAGGGACAGCAAGAGGTGGTCCCGGCTCGAGGAGTTTGATGTCTTCTCTCCAAAGCAGGACCCCATCCCCGGGTCTCCAGATGATTCCCAGCTGCAGCCGGCGGCGAGCCAGGAGAGCATGCTGACCGCCCTCAGCGAGCGCCAAGAGGTGTCTTCCGTTCGCAGCCTCAGCAGTACCAGCAGCCTCCTGACCCCTGGGCCCCACAGCGCCGATGCTGCCACACCTCGGACCAACTCGGTCACCAGCGTCTGCTCCTCAGGCAACTTGAATGGCAATGACGACTCCTTCTGCAGCCTGCCCTCGCCCAAGGAACTGTCCAGCTTCAGTTTTGGGTTGAAGGGCCATGAGAAGAATGCCAAGTCCAAGACGCGGAGCCTGCTGAAGCGCATGGAGAGCTTGAAGCTCAAGGGCTCTCACCACAGCAAGCACAAAGCGCCTTCTAAGCTGGGACTCATCATCAGTGGGCCCATCCTGCAGGAGGGCGTGGATGAGGAGAAGCTGAAACAGCTCAACTGTGTGGAGATCTCTGCCCTCAATGGCAACCACATCAACGTCCCCATGGTACGAAAGAGGAGCGTCTCCAACTCCACGCAGACCAGCAGCAGCAGCAGCAGCCAGTCAGAGACCAGCAGCGCCGTGAGCACACCCAGCCCCATCACCAGGACCCGCAGCCTCAGCGCCTGCAACAAGCGCGTCGGCATGTATTTAGAGGGCTTCGATCCTTTCAATCAGTCCACGTTCAACAACGTCATGGAGCAGAACTTCAAAAACCGCGAGAGCTACCCAGAGGACACGGTGTTCTATATCCCAGAGGACCACAAGCCAGGCACCTTCCCCAAGGCCCTCTCCAATGGCAGCTTCTCGCCATCGGGGAGTAACAGCTCTGTAAACTGGAGGACTGGAAGCTTTCACGGCCCCGGCCATCTCAGCCTGAGGAGGGAAAACAGCAACGACGGCCCTAAGGACCTGAAGAGGCGCAATTCCTCCAGTTCCATGAGCAGCCGCCTCAGTATCTATGACAACGTGCCAGGCTCCATCCTCTACTCCAGCTCGGGCGACCTGGCCGACCTGGAGAATGAGGACATCTTCCCCGAACTGGACGACATCCTCTACCATGTGAAGGGGATGCAACGGATCGTGAACCAATGGTCCGAGAAATTTTCTGACGAGGGTGACTCAGATTCCGCCCTGGACTCAGTTTCTCCCTGCCCATCCTCTCCCAAGCAGATCCACTTGGACGTGGACAATGACCGGGCCACACCCAGTGACCTGGACAGCACTGGCAACTCCCTGAATGAGCCTGAAGACTCCTCCGACATCCCAGAGAGAAGGGATTCTGGGGTGGGTGCATCCCTGACCAGGTGCAATAGGTAAGGGCTTTTCTCCTCCCTCTGATCCAGGGTTGCAGATCAATGTCGGGTAGGGTCTGGGGCTACTGCCATTTTTCTGGCTCTGGGGGAGGAAATGGGGCTTACGTTGTGGTGTTCACAGCTGTTGAAATTCTTCCGGACAGCATCAGGTCAGGAAATGCCGACATGCACAGAAGAATGGTCATTGTTTCATGGTTGCAGTTTCAGTTGCGGGCAATAAAGTGATGCTGGAACGCGAGGTGGTGGTTGTACAGCTTTGTGGATGGACATGACAAATGACACACACAGCAGTGGTTAGGAGGGTGTGTTTTCTGTTGCTGAGCCTGGCTGCTGCTCTTATAGATCCATCCAACCATGCATCTATAATACCTCAAAATGAAGAGTGCATCTGCACTGAACTCATACAAACTTTTTCTTCTTGTCCTTATTTCTAATGTACAGTACAATGTATTTCCTATACAGTACAAGGACTAGTCACCTAGCATTTGCATATTGGGTGTTGTCTGTACTCTGGAGGTGATTTAAAGCAGGGGTGGGGAACCATTTTTCTACCACCAGCCAGTTGGGTATTTACAGCATCCTTTGTGGGTCATGCAAAATTGTCAACTTAAAAATGAGCCTGCTGTGGCTTCATTGGCTTTGGAGTCCTGCCTATGGTTGCTTTGGCAAGGTAGAACCAGACCAAATGGTTTTGAGGGTCTTACCCATGGCCCACATGCCCAGACTCCATCTCTGATTTAAAGTATGTATGCAGGAGCGTGGCAGTGGTCCAATACAGCAACTGTGCCATTCTATGTGAGCATCCCAGGGTCGTGCCGACTATTGAAGTTCCACACAGTTCCATACCCAGAAACCATAGGAGAAGGAACAGAATGGAAAATGAGCCCTCCTGGTTCCCTGGGCAGCCCGTTGCTAATGTTCCGTGAACTTATTAAACGGTTTCCTCTCCTCTCTCCTCTCAGGCACAGACTGAGGTGGCACAGCTTCCAGAGCTCCCATCGGCCGAGCCTGAACTCAGTGTCGCTGCAGATCAACTGCCAGTCTGTGGCTCAGATGAACCTGCTGCAGAAATACTCGCTCCTAAAGTTAACGGCCCTGTTGGAGAAATACACACCTTCTAACAAGCACGGCTTCAGCTGGTAAGAGTTTAAGTGTAGCTCCAAGTGATCTCATCTCCTTTGAGGCTATCCTAACACCCAGCACTGGACGGTTCTCTCCTTTAGCAGTTATCTCTGTCACCCATCTGCAGTCAGACCTCTACGTCCTTGAGGTCACAGCTACTATGGCTGAAGGGGCAGGTGTTTGGCCTGATGGTTAGGCTGCTTAGGGCACCTGGGTTCTACGCCCGGTATTGGCTTCTGACTCCAGCTTCTTGCAAGTGCAGGCGCTGGGCAGGCATTGGTGGTGGCTGAAGTAGTCAGGTCCCTTCCATCTATTCAGAGACCTCAATCAGCTCCCAGACCCCAGCCCCTAGCTCCAGCCTGACTTGTTCTTAGCCATTGCAGGCATTTTGGGGGAGTGAACCAGCAGTTGGGGACTCCTGTCTCTCGCTCTCTGTGTCTCCAGTGATAGATTAAGGAAAAAATACTATTTAAGCCAGTGTGATTTAGAGAATTATCAGCAGGGTTAGTTTTCGTCTCTCTGAATGCTGAATTGCCCGTTGATGTGGGTGACGTGTGTTACTTGCCCATCACATGCTTGCAGGGCTGCTTTCCCAGAGGTAGGAGTACCCCACTGGAGATAAGCATAGAAGGGTACTTCGGCAAGTTCATGAAACATGGGATTAAAACATCATTTGTTTTGGTACAAAAATCTTTGAAGTTCGTGCATGCAAGGGATCTTCAGAAAGTTATGAAAAATCTACCTGATGAAAATAATCACTCATGGATGTCAGAAATTTTTTTGCACCAAGTGAAGTTCCTTTTAAGTCCATTTTCCCAGGAACTGTTTGAAGTCTCTTCATCTGTATAGTATCAGATTATGTGTATGAAGCAAGGAAGGAGAAATGCTAAGATCTAAGGAGGCCATCTTTGAGATGCCTGATGCGCCACACTTGACCTTAAACCCCTACTTTGTGTGTGTTTTTGGCTGTTCACACGCTGGTTTAGTGGGCACTTGGTGCCTGTAGTGCCTGCTGGAGCACCTGATTAGTGCCTGATGCTTCTGACGCAACCTCCTATTAGTACGCACCCTGGAAGGCAGCAGTGAGGGCTCAAATATTTGGGTCCCTACCACTCACAAGGGAGACCTTGGTTAAGTTCCATTCTCCTGTCTTCGCCGTGGCCCAGTCCTGGCTGTTGTGACCATAGTATTTAGTATTTAGGTTTGTTACTTTTCCCAGCAAAAACTTTGAAGGAGGGAATGATAGATTCAAGGAATTCCCTATTTTTATTTATTTTTTTTATTGGAAGAATCAGATTTATAGAGAGAAGGAGAGACATAAGGAAGATCATCTGTCCACTGGCTCACTCCCCAAGTGGCCCCAATGGCCAGAGCTGAGCTGATCTGAAGCCAGGAGCCAGGCGGGTGCAGGGTCCCAAGGCTTTGGGCCGTCCTTGACTGCTTTCCCAAGACACAAGCAGGGAGCTGGATGGGACATGGAGCAGCCGGGACATGAACCGTACCCACATGGGACCCTGGCACATGCAAAATGAAGACCCCAGCCGCTAGGCTATGGCACCCAGCCCAGAATTCCCTATTTGATATGATAGACTAAGATATACAGAACAGTGAGATGTATTGGGTGGATTCTTGGTACTTTCCAGGTGCAGCCTTGAACATGTGTAAGGTGAGGTGCAGGTTGTTAGGTTGGATGAGGCTGTGACCTCATCTGTGTATGCCTTTATGTTTCTCCTGTCAGTGCAAGCCCAGAAGTGTCTACCAGTTGACTGCTTGGCATGTGTTGCCGTGTCAGCTTGGCATCCTTCAGTCTTTTCCCTTTGACCTCAGTGATAATTGTCCAGTTGCAAAGTGGCCATTTTGCCTACAAATGGAGAGGCAGCCCAGTACCTGGTGGGCTCTGTAGCAAAGCAAAGTTGCTTGAGATGAGCGAGAAAAGCAGGGGCCCTGTCTTCTCTCTGGCTCCTCCCCTCCTCCATACGCAGAGAGTTTGACTTCTCCTGTTCAAAGGCTGTCATTATATGAGCCTTGCTAAATACAGGAGTTGTTTGTTCTGAATGACAGAAATAAGTATTGACCGGTTTATGCCCGACATGCTTCAGATTCTCCATGGGGATCGTAATGTGTTCCTTCCACATTCCGCTGCTGGGCTTTTCCCCACCGACAAAGCAAGCATTATGCACATGTACAGCCGCAGTGCCATGGACTTAACTGTATGGAAATCCGCATTTGGCCCCTCACTGGCACTGCACCATGACCACGCTATAAACAGCAACATGGATGCCGGTGAGCGCTGGCGGGCCACAGCCCTTCGGCTTCGCACGGTTCCTCCCTGCTCAGAGTCCTGCGTTGTCCCTGCTGGCTATTTAAAACTGCATGCTTCAGATTCCCCATTGCCTAGTCGCCCACCCCACTTCCCACCAAACCCTCAAGAATCTCCCAAGTCCATAATACTTCTTGAGTTCTGGTCAGTTTTTCCAGTGAGTCAAAAACCAAATGTAAAAGCCTCGCATTGTGGGATCCCAGGAGTAGGAAAGAAACTGTCCAAAGTCCTTTTCCTGTTTGGCCTTGCCCCTTTGGAGAGGTCACTGGTAGAGCTGAAATGCCTGCTTGCTGCTGTAAGTGCAGGACAAGGGTTTCCTGCTGGGTCCTGCACTGCTGGGGGTGGGCCTGATTTCAGGACTCCAGGGGGCCTGGGACAGGCTCACAAACCCCCCATTGTTCCTTTGCTGTCTTTCTTTTGAAACCTAGAGATGTTGTAGTTCCCAGGGTCATTGATTTTGACTTCAGGTCATTGACTCTGAGCGCTGGGGTTGTATTAGAGTATTTGCTGTTCTTTCTCCAGCAACTGCCTGAATCCTAAGGCTTTGGGTCCATCAAGAACCCAGAAGTGATTTCTACCATCTTCCTCAGGACAAAAGGGAACTGGCTTTTCAAACTCTAGTAGAAGCGCCTCGTGTGATTTTCTGCTTTGTTCCTTCCCTGACCACCGTGGAAGGCCCTTAAGACTGTCGACCTGGGGTCAGCGCAGCACGTTATGCTGTGTGTCCTGGCTGCTTCATTTCTGCTCCGGTTCCACTGGTGCTCCCAGGAAAGCAGCAGATGCTAGACGAAGCACTTGGATCCCTGCCACCTCTGTGGGAGACCCAGAGAAAGTTTCTGGCCGCTGGCCCAGCCCTGGCCATCGGTGGCCATTTTGGGAATAATCCAGCAGATAAAATAGTCCATCTGCAACTGCTTTTACAGAGAGAAGGAGAGGCAGAAAGATCTTCCATCTACTGATTCACACTCCCAAATGGGCACAACAGAGCTGAGCTGATCCGAAGCTGGGAGCCAGGAGCTTCTTCCAGGTCTCCCACGAGGTTGCAGGGTTCCAAGAACTTGGGCCACCCTCCGATGCTTTCACAAACCACAAGAGCTGGATGGGAAGAGGAGCAGCCAGGACACGAACTGGCGCTCATTTGGCGTGCCGACGCCACAGGGTGGAGGAATTGTCCAACTATGCCACTGTGCTGGCCCTATCAAATAAATAAATCTTTTTTTAAAAATAGAAATTTAGTTGATATTAATCCTATCCCATTTTAGTAATAAAATGTTACCTCTTCAGTCCAACTCTGACCCCCTCACTCTTAAGGGCCCCAGAAGGACAACCCCCAAAATGTGGCTGGGTGTTTCATTCCTATCCCTCAGGAAGTCTGGAACAGCTCTGTCCAATAGCATGGCCTGGGTTGGTGGCAGTGTTGTGTAGGTGGCCAGTTCACTGTTGCCACAGTTGGCTCGTGTGGCTGGCACACCTGAGAACTGTAGTCAGTCGTTTGATTTTGTTTGAATGTCAGCAGCCCTGGGATTAGCACAGACCCAGTGCCCCCGGGGCTTATCCGCCAGGGAAGACAAGTACAGACAGAGGAGTGAACTTGTGTCCCCCTGGCCTCTGTGTTCTTTCAACAGGGCTGTGCCCAAGTTCATGAAAAGGATCAAGGTGCCAGACTACAAGGACCGGAATGTGTTCGGGGTCCCTCTGACGGTGAACGTGCAGCGCACAGGACAGCCCCTGCCTCAAAGCATACAACAGGCCATGCGTTACCTCCGCAACCATTGTTTGGACCAGGTGGGCAGGGGTCCTGTGGAGAGCTGGACTACTGGCAGGGGTCCCCACCATGCAGGGGATGCTCTTGCCATTCCCAGCACTTAACGATTTTTTTTTTCTTCCAATAGGTGGGGCTCTTTAGGAAATCCGGTGTCAAGTCCAGGATCCAAGCGCTGCGCCAGATGAATGAAAATGCCGTAGATTGCATCAACTATGAAGGACAATCTGCGTATGACGTGGCAGACATGTTGAAACAGTATTTCCGAGATCTTCCGGAGCCACTCATGACCAACAAACTCTCAGAAACGTTTTTACAGATCTACCAGTGTGAGTGCTCTTTTTCATATTTATTTTGTTTCAAAGAGAGATCTTCTATCCATTGTTTCCTTGCTCTGATAACCTGCCCAGGGCCGGAGAAACCAGGGACCTAGGTAGAAACCAGAGACCTAATGAGGGTGTCTCATCTGGGAGGCAAGGACCCAGCCTGAGCTCTAGCCCTTCTCAGCTGTTGCTTCCCTTGGGCACCTTGGAGCAGGATGCTCAAGTCGAGAGCAGAGCCAGGCCTCCGAGCCCCGGCACTCCGCAGCGGAATGCGGGCATCCCAGTCCCAGCCGGCAGCTTCAGCCCTGCACCAAGTGCCTGCCCTGGGAAGTGTTCTTTGATGTTAAAATTGTTTGGCATTGGGGTGAAGCAGGACCAATTGAAGCTTGTGGCTTCCTTTGAAGTCATTCTTCTGACAAGAGGGCCTCTCTTGGCAGCACAAGCAATCGGGTTTTTCCTTGCCCGTCGTTTGTGGAACGAAATTTCTGTGTAATGCAAAAATAAAATTCCCTCTCCCTATCAGTTGCTAACTCCTGAAACAGTTTTATGCTTTTACATGCTGGTGCAGTTTATTCTTTGATTTGTTTCAGTCACAGCGTTACCCAGGATGCTTCATCAAGAGCAGGTGCCAAGATCTCTCCCTCTCTCTCCCCTCCCCCCACACACATCTCCACCTTGTCTGTGGAAACCCCGGTTGCTTCACAGTCCCGAGGCAGGGCTGTTGCAGTTAAGGCTTCACAGGTGCCTGTGTGTTTTATCTTGCTGTAAAATGCATAAATAAGCTCTTTCTGTTATTCGTCGCAGTCTCTGCCAGAAATGGTTGGGAAAACAACACCCATGCCCTTCTCACTTTTAAGTAAAGCTTAAAGCAAACACTTGTCTAAATTAATGATCAAGATCAGGATTATAGCTTTTACAGCCTTGTGTTTTCCTTGGCACCATGTGGCATCGCAGCAGCGTAATTTAAAAGCGGCTTCTCGCTTCTCTGAGTGCTCAGTTTGTCTTGAGAACTGGCGCGAGGGACCTTATTTTATGAGAAATGGAGCCGGTCTGGATTATTTCATTATTTGTTTCGTCCTTTCATATTTCATGAAGGCACAGGTCACATTTTCCCCCACCAAGGTATTTGTTATGTGTTGTAACCATGGAGCTGTTTAATCAGTTGGTCCTATGTAGCTACGTTTCAGTGAGTTGGTTTTTCCACCACATGGCTTTTTCAAAGATTGGCCTGGTAAAGGAGACTCGAAGGTTGTGCTCAGCATTTTCTACATGCAAATTACTTTGGAAGATTCTGTGTGCCTTCCCCTCCTAAATCTGCATATTATGTGTGCCTTCTTGTAATAACCTCTGGCATACTTCCCAACACTTCAGTTATTATCTAAATTGACTGAATGTTTTAGCAGCTTACTTTTACCCAATTCCAGAACAAACAAATTGGTGAAAATTGCAAGTGTCCCTAGAGATAATTGAACAATTTTGTTCTCCAGGCTGAGAGACCTCAACTCCAATCCTCTTGTACATAGGCAGTTTTCCACTGGAACTGAACAAAAGCTGAAGTGTATAATGACTGTAGGAATTGGGATTTGTAAATTAGGGGTTTTTAAGCAGTGTTTCGGGGTGGGGGTTGGCCTGACTTACATCAGACTCACTAGGGTTTAATCCTTGGCCCTGGCTGCTGGCTCTAGCTTCCTGCTAATGGACTTCTTGGGAGGCAACAAGGATAATTTTAAGTAATAGGGTCCCTGCCACTCGTATAGGAGACCTGGGTTGAGTTCCTGACTTGCATATTTAGAGAGTGAGCAAAAAAACAGCAGTGTTTCCTCTCTCTCTCTCTCACTAATGCCATCACACACTTCTTTTCTCTTTCATTGTCTCTTCTCTAACATTTTTTTTAAGTTGTTAGAAAAGTTCTGTGAACTGAAAGAGCATGGCTCCTACAGAGCTGAACTCTGAGATGGATTTGAAATTGTTCACTCCAGGGACCAGTGTTGTGGCATACCAGTTTAAACCTCTGCCCATATGAGCTCTGGTTCAAGTCCCAGCTGTGCCACTTCTAATTCCAGCTCCCTGCTGAGGCACCGGGAGGGTAGCAGAGGACCGCCCAAGTCCTTGTCCACTATATGGGAGGGCCAGATTGAGGTCCAGTCCCCTGGCGTTGGCCTGGCCCTACCCCCAGGCCATATAAAGAATAAACCAACGAACAAAAGATCTCTGTTGTAATATGTGTATGTGTTGGGGCTAGGGTCAGTGAGCTAATGGGGCCATGCTTGTGTCATACAGATGTGCCCAAGGAGCAGCGCCTCCAGGCCATCAAGGCCGCCATCATGCTGCTGCCGGACGAGAACCGGGAGGTCCTGCAGACCCTGCTGTATTTCCTGAGTGACGTCACAGCGGCTGTGAAGGAAAACCAGATGACACCCACTAACCTGGCTGTGTGCCTTGCGCCTTCCCTCTTCCACCTTAACACCCTGAAGAGAGAGAACTCATCTCCCAGGTAGGGCAAGTGGCCAACCAGTCCTTTGGGGTGGGGTGGGGGGATCGTCTGTAGTTTTGTCGGATGGCACCTAAGTCATACCATATTGAGTTTCAGTGACCCACTTGCCTCCCCTGGCTCCTTCCTGGCTCGGTGTCGTTGCTAGGCAATCTGGTTACCAGAAAAGTTTGAGGGGACACTTCAGGTTGGGACATCGCTACAGCAGGTCTCATAATGTAATCCAATCATGTTGTCATTGTGGTGATACCTCTGCCAGCAAAAAAAAAAAAACTGGGGACTGAGATCTGTGTGTGGTCATGAAAGCCAGGCTTTCTGGCCCAGTCCCCTGGCTGAAAGGATGTGGCTGAGCAGGAAAGGGCTCAAGGTCAAGTGGAACCTCCAAGTGGCTCGTCTCTCAGATCTGACCCGAGGCGGTTGTTTGTGGGGTTTTCTACCTTATAGAGCATGCGTACAAGATAAGTCAGGAGTCTGAAAAGTACCAAAGGCTGGTATTTGCCATGTGTCCAGTGGGAACCCTGCCTAGGACCCGGTCCTTTCTTCCCAGCATCTCATTTAATCCTCGTCGTGCTCTTAGAAGGTGAGGGTACTAGAGTGTCTGGTTTTCATATGAAGAAAATTAGGCTTGGGCAGGTAAAGTTAGTAAACGTCATGCACTTTTCTGATGGAGAAGGTGGCCTGAGCTTCTGACCTACAGAAACAGCTCACAATACAGACCTCCAGTGAAGTGTAGGAGAATGTAGTTGTTTGCTGAACCCTCAAATACACTAAATCCATCCACCTAATCCTCTTCTTCAGCTCTAGAGAAACTTGGAAAAGACCAGGGCACTTCACAAAGCTCATGGGAAAATGGAATCAAAAGGTAACTTTATTTCGGGGAAAAATGTATTTGCCATTTAAAAGGGCACATGAAAAGAATGTATTATGCAGAAAGCTATGCATGCATTCCCCAAGAAACCTTAAACCTGAACAAACCTGCTTGTTAATTCCATTTTCCATGAACTTTTTGAAATCGCTCATTATTTCTTAGCTGAAGACAGCCGGGGCCATGCTGTGCTTGTGAAGTTAGCTTTGCTTCAGAAGAAAACCGTAGGATGCTCAAGTAGCCTTCAAACTGGTTGTAAAAGTCGGCTGGGCCTTCCTGACTTTAATGGGATAGAGAATTGGGGAGGAATAGAAACAGAAGGCAGACATCAGATGAGATTAAAGACAAAACCTCTGGGAAACAATAGAATTATCCTTCACCTGCAGGAGGGGTTCCTGTTTACCCTCTGCCCCCAACTTCCTGTGGCTCCCACCCCACACCCACTGTGCCTACAAGAGAGGTCTGACAGAGCTGCCCTGTTGACAGCAGGAATGTATTTAGCAAATGCTGCTTAGGTAGCCTGGATCTCATTAAGAGCAGGTCTCTTTAATGTTTTCTTTATGTGTTGTTGATCAAGCTCTGAGCTCTGGAAAGCTCTTGAACCACTTAACAAACAGACTCCAGTGAGGCTGTTTGCTGTCTCTCTTGAGTTTTCCTTGAATGGAACCTTGATTAAACCTATATAGAATACTGGAATCATCCCCTTTGCTTACCTCTGCTTCCTAGGGTAATGCAACGAAAACAAACGTTGGGCAAACCAGATCAGAAGGATTTGAACGAGAACTTAGCTGCCACTCAAGGCCTGGCCCACATGATTGCTGAATGCAAGAAGCTCTTCCAGGTATGGAGCTGGGAAGGTCAGCCCCTCTGCTCAGGCGAGGGTAAACGGGGATGTAATCTTGAGCCTAAGACTGGATCCTTTCCCCGACTGGAGATAACATATGTAACCTGAGGATGTCCCACTTGCACATTCTCTAAAGTATAAGCTCATTAGATTTAATGATTAATGAAATTGTCTGGTGAAGCTAAAATTCTGTAAGGGACAGAGCTGCTTGTTGTGATTGGTTGATTTAAAAGGCAGCATGACAGAGAGGGAGAGAAAAATAAATCGTCCGTCTGTGACTCACTGCCCAGAGGGCCACGATTAGCTGATGGTAGTGCAGACTGAAACCAGGAACCTGGAACTCCATTCAGTCTCCCACACAGGTAGCAGGGACACAAGTACTTGTGTCATCTTCTGCTGCCTTCCCTGGGGTGTTAGCAGGGAGCCAGGATTGGAAGCAGAGCAAATGGGGCTTGAACTGGCACTCTGATAGGAAATGCTGACACTGACAAGTGGTGGCTTTACTCTGTGTCACAGTGCTGGCCCTGAGAGGGGGATGTGTTTGGATCCACATGATGCCACACCGAGTGGGACCGCACGCTGCCATAGCCGCAGTCTCTGCCTGCCGCTTGCACTGAGAGGCAAGTGCAGGTGGACTCACCTGCTCTCTGTCTTGCATGCGCCTCCCAGGTTCCTGAGGAAATGAGCCGGTGCCGGAATTCCTACACGGAACAGGAGCTAAAACCCCTCACCCTGGAAGCCCTGGGACGCCTGGGTAATGAGGAGTCTGCCGACTACAAGCATTTCCTGCAGAGCTGCATGGATGGCCTCTTCAAGGAGATCAAGGAGAAGTTCAAAGGCTGGGTCAGCTACCCCACCTCTGAGCAGGCCGAGCTCTCCTATAAAAAGGTGAGTCTTCTCACCAGGGATGGGGCTCTGATGACCCCATCCCTTATCTCCATGGGATCCTGGGGTAGCACAGTCCCTTCCCTGTCACGGAGCTGGGTAGCCAGGTGTTTCAGTTTGGATAAAGGCAGAAGCCAGGGGGGGGGTGTAGGAGGACATTGTGAACCTGGAAGGTCAGCGAGCACAGGTTTGCAGTTCATTGGACAGTATTTACATGACAATAACCAAATGGCTACCTTTGGTATAAACAGCATGTAAATGAGAACACCTGGTATAATATACAAAACAAAAAGAATTCCAATCAAGAGAGGGAAACAGTACGGACTCTCAGTGTATAAAGTCTGATGCCCCTAATAAACTTCGGCTTTGACCATCAGTCAGGGTCCACACGTGTTATTATCAGCTCCGTGCACCAAGTCCGTCGCTGTCCCGGGGGTGGGGGGGGGCAGTGCTCTCACACAGGAGAACATCCTATGCTGTTTCTAGTAGGGTCCTTTGGGTGTGCAGCAACACCACAGAGTCCCTGCAGTGTCATGCTCCTGGGTGTTGAACTTTAGCACGTTAAATCACCTGCTTAGATTTGTCCAAAACTGGTCAGAATCTCCTTGCGTCCTCCTTGGCTCTTAGTTCAGCTGCTCCCAGCCTCCGAATGAGCAGGAAGCCAGGAGCGCCTTACTGGAGACATTGGCTGGCAAGGACTGGAAGCTCCTTGCGGGCAAGGGCCCCTAGCCTGAGCCCGGCTCAGCATGATGGGTCCATAGGAAGTGTTGTTGCTGCAACTGTCAACCACCATCTTAAACAGGAACAGTGAGAGCTGTGGGACGGCCTCGCTGGCTTTAGAGTGTGTGATCCAACTTTACCACGTTCACCCCTGGCCCAGGGAAACCAAGCCTAATGCTCATGGCCAGACTCAACACCAGCCGCCCTGTTGCCTTCCTGGCTGAATAAACTCAGGGACCACAGCACCCAGGACTAGCTGCTTAGAGACTGCTTAAACTCTTAAAAAAAAAAAAATCATGTTCCTTGCAGGTGAGTGAAGGACCACCACTAAGACTCTGGAGAGCAACCATCGAGGTCCCCGCCACCCCCGAAGACATCTTAAAGCGTCTGCTGAAGGAGCAGCACCTCTGGGACGTAGACCTGTTGGACTCGAAGGTGATTGAAATGCTGGACAGCCAAACAGAAATTTACCAGTTTGTGCAAAACAGCATGGCACCCCATCCTGCGCGGGACTTCGTGGTTTTGAGGTAGGAGCTTCTAAACGGATGAAGGGGAGGCCACATTCTGGGAAGAAGCTTGCTCTGAGGCAGGGGTGGCAGCTTGCTTTTAGAGGCACCAAAATCCTTGAATTCTATTTTTCCACGACCTTTTTTGAAGGACTCTCATATAACACTGAACATGACAAGAAGGCACTGTTATGTAACACAGAGAGTGCACACGCAGAGAAGTAATAAAATCCTCCTGAACATACAAACCACACCTACACCTGCTGCAGGAACACCTTGCACCCTGAAAAACTTCTTTGCTTTTGGAGTCCCCTCAGATCTGCCCCTTGGGGACAGATTGTCTCGTTAAAGACAGCAAACAAGTCAGGAAGGCAGGAAATGACATTTTTAGGTCCAGCTTGAGGTTTGCTTACTGCTGACTTACATCTAATCCACTCATTCACTGAAGCTGTGGAAAAAAGAATTCCAGCAGTGCTTTTTTAGGGTTTATTTATGGGGCTAGCACAGTGGCATAGCACACTAATCCTCTGCCCCGTGATTCTGGCATCCCGTATGGGCACCATTTCATGTCCTAGCTGCTCCGCTCCCAATCCAGTTCTCTGTGGCCTGGAAGTGCAGCAGTAGAGGATGGCCAAAAGCCTTGGGATCCTTCCCCAACATGGGAGACCCAGAAGAAGCTCCTGGTTCCTGACTTTGGAATGGCTCAGCTCCAGCTATTATGACCATCTGAGGGGGTGAACAAGTAGATGGAGGATCTTTCTGTCTCTCCTAGCTGTAAATCTGTGTTTTTGATAAAATAGTGTTTAGAGTGATAAGGCTGGAACGTGGGATGGGGAAGGAGAGAGAGTTGTCTTCCATCTGCTGGTTCCTTCCAGGTCTGGGTCAAGGGGAAGGCAGGAGCCAGAAACCCCACCCTGGTCTCCCCTGTGGTTGGCAGGGGCCCTGATACTTGTCATCGTCTGCTGCCTTCCCGGGTGCACTAGCAGGGAGCTGGATAGGACGTGAAGAACCTGGGATTCTATCTGGCGTCGCGAGTGACAGCTCACAGCACCACCACAGCAGCCAGTGTCATGTCATTTGTCCAGAACTTTTCATACACGGCACTGCTCATTTTGTTTTGTCAAACAGAAGCTGCCTTCCATTATACCGGAGATGGGTTCTGTTTGCAAAGATGTCTGGGTGAACATTCCACTCTGTGGGAGTGGCTTACTGCACAGTGAGTCACGTGAGAGTCCCTGGGCCAGTGGTTAGGGTGCTGATGGCGTGAGCCCCCTATCTCATTGAGGAGCAGGGTATCATTTTCATGTTTGGCTTCCAAGAAATCCCATTTCCTCCCCGATTTTGCCTTCACAGAACGTGGAGAACCAATTTACCCAAAGGAGCCTGCGCCCTTTTACTCACTTCTGTGGACCACGACCGGGCGCCCATGGTGGGCGTGAGGGTTAATGTGCTCTTATCCAGATATTTGATGGAACCCTGCGGGCCAGGAAAATCCAAACTCACCTACATGTGCAGAGCCGATCTAAGGTACGTGACAACGCCGACCAGACAGACTGTGTGATGTACGTGGCTGCACTAGTAACTAGAGGGAGTGACCGTGAATTCATGCAGGCTGGTGCTTGTGGATTACACCTTCATTTTTATTGGTTGTTTGGGTACCACTTCCTTGTTATAATCCCATAGGGAATGTGAAACTCATGCTGTGCAAAATCAGTGGTTTTGCCACAAATTGGAAGCCCCAGGAAATGATGTATTTCTCCAGCTTCGAACTGGCAAGCAGGTGTTTCTTATTTTACCTTCAACAATGTTTGAATAATGGGACATATGCTCTAACAATGGATCCTGTAAATGAACATGTATTTAATCATAAGACAAATGAAGAACTACCCTCCCTTTAAAAACAAACAAACGGGAAAAAAAAAAGCTGGCTCTTGTATCAAAGTCTCATTTGAAATCTCTATAATTCGACAGTTCTTCAGAAATCTACCTGATCCACCAGAGCCTTCCCTGAATAGCTTCCCCCCAATTTCATTGTATCCTTGAGAGTTCCTTGAGAAACTGCTGCTTCTAGTTATATAAAGGACAATCCAGGCAATTAACTAGGGATAGAAATTACACATTTGGATCATCAAGAAATAGGACTGAGGGAGGGCATTTGGCCTGGCAGTTAAGCTGCAGGTTGGGATGCCAGGGTACAGTACCGGGCTCTGCTCCAAACTCCAGCTTCCTGTGAGGCAGCAGGTGGCAGCTCAAGTGCTTGGGTCCCCTCCTGCCTCCATGGAAGGCCTACATCATGCACCCAGCTCTTGGCTTCCGCCAGGCCAACCCCAAACATTGCAGACATTTGGAAATGATCCCCTCTCTCTGTCAAACAAATAAGTAAATATTTAAAAGGAATTGTGTTTGGAACTCCGTTGAATTCTTGAGTGCTCTCTCACGTGGGTGGTTGACTGGCGTTTCCTTTCTGCTGCAGGGGCCACATGCCAGAGTGGTACACAAAATCCTTTGGACACTTGTGTGCAGCTGAAGTTGTGAAAATCCGAGATTCCTTCAGTGATCAGAATGCCGACAACAAGGACAGCAAATCCAGGTGATTGGCAAAGCAAAACAACTGCCTCCACTGGCCAGACGCTGGTTTCGAGAACTTGCCAGTCCTTGGAAGAATAGCTCTGGTATCTGATGAGTTGGAGTGTAGATGTGGACTCTAGCAATTTGATACACTTTCAAAGCTGCTTCCTGTTTGTTTAAGGTCTGTGTTATAGACCTTGACTGGAATTTGTAAGACTGAGGGGGGGGAGGGAATTGCATTTGTATTCTTATTCAAATTGCTTCTGAGAAGCAAAACTTTTAAGTACATGATGGAAGGTAGTGAGGATGTTTCCTTGTCTTGTGATACTGATCTGTGTGTACCTATGTCATTTTCTTTGCATGTGTGGAGGGATTGGTGTATCCACTGGAAGAGTTGGTACTCTGATGAGCAGAGCAGGGTTTGCACAGAGAACTAGGGATGTGTGGTTGCTGGTGGTTGAATGGCATAGCTGTGATGTTACAGTGCAGTGTCTGGCACACTGAGACGCCTCTGAGAATGGCTGTTGATGCATCAGGTTCACTGTGACCTGAAATAGCTGACCCCCCCATCCCACCTCCCAAGGATTCGTCCTCAGAGGGGACCCAACACCCTTGTCCATGCATCTTCCTCTCGCATTGTTTAGTATATTGCCTCTCCGACCCACCTACTTCTTTGCCTTAAAAGTAGTTGTGGACTCACTCCTGATACCCATGTCAGGCACTTTGTTTTGAGGCCTGATGCTAAACCTCTCACCAGTGTAGGTTAGTAGCGGGGTAAGCCTGTCCCCTGCCCCTTTACTGGCTCCAAGCCACGGGCCTTTGGTCACTTTGTCCTTCTTCTTTTAGACTAAGACATAAAAAACTAAATGCTCGTAAACACTTACTCCCAAATCAAGCATCAAGATGCTTCTCACACAAACATTTTTGTGTTTGTAGCAGATATGCTTTCTAACACTATATATGGGAACATGAAAATCTGACGTAAGAAAATCGCTGTATATCGAATCCAGCCACAAAAAGGCCTTTTGTGGGCTGGTTGTTAAAAGCAGTCCTGAAAGTGACACATTTATTAATTCGATTTATCATTATCAACAAAGAGGTTTTCTGTTTTCATGGTGTTTTGTTTTGCTTCTCTTGTATTTTTTTTTCACCTTTTCCTTAATGGTGCCCTTGCAATATATTTTAGTGATAATGGAAGATAGTAATCTTAGTTAAAAACAAAACAAACAAAAAAAAAGTGCAGAGTTTTTTTGAAGGGTGGTCTTTATACAGGTTTTACTGTAATGACAGAGATGGACTCAAGAGACAGTATTAATAAATTTATTTTGTATGGATCAAAAATGAATAATGTATGAATGAGAGTTGTAAGAAGGATCTTTATTTTGTTATAATTTAGTTACCATTGTCAGTGTTATTTCAGAGGTTCTTTGAAGAATGGAGGGGTCAGATTAGAGTTTTAAAAGTTGAGTATTTTGAATATCAGTGCTCCTCATGAAGATATACTTGTATATTCAATCTGCTGGCTTCCGGGTTTATAGACTATATGTTGTATATACCATTCTATTAAGAAATATGTACACATGTCCACTGTGCTTTCCAACATAGATGAAGCATGATAAAGATTATTATTTAAAATATCCTTGTATTTATACCTCAGATATTCTTTTGGGTTTTGTACCTCAAGGCTTTGTTCCCCTACCCTATTGTAAATACACTTTACGTGAATACAATCTAAATGGAAAAAAAATAAAGGAAGAGGTTTATAACTTGCTTTATATCTGTACAGAGTATAATCCATACGTGCACTAATTAAATGTTGAAGTAAGGGAAGTGCCTGGCTTGCTCTCTCCTTTGTTTTGCCTCTCACTCACTCCCTCAAAACCACAGATTGCAAAGCGTGGCCTGTCACATCCGCTAAAAGCAGGTGAGGCTGTAAAAGACAGAGTCAGACTATGATCTACCCACGCCCGAGCTGCCATGGAGCTGTTGAACTCACAGCTGGGAACCCTGGGCAAGGTTTCAGGAAGCAGAGAGATTCTCCTGCAGGGATTGTGCAGAAAGCCAGACCCAGCCACACAGAGATGCCCTGGGGCAGAGCCAAAGTCACAGCCTCCTCGTCACACAAGATCCTTCCTACTGTTCAGCTCCCATGTGGAAAGGATGCTAAAGGGTTCTCCATTGATGTCACCTGCAGCCCTGTCCCCACAACTTCTCTGACTAAAGGCCTAGACTGTAAGCTCTATGCGGGCAGAGCCCATCTAGACGTCTCCATAATCCCCTACTGCGATGTTCAGTACTTTGTACTTGTAGGCACCTAATAAATCAATTATCTGCTGAATTGACTGGAATGCATTACCTTGTGTGATTTCAAAGGGAAGAGCCTGCAGGCTGCCATCCGCCTTAAACCACGTGGATCATCACTCCCCACCTGGAGATTACAGAGATTAGAAATCGGTGGCTTTTTTTTTTTAAGATTTACCAATTTATTTGAAAGACAATTACAAAGAGAGGGAGAGAGATGTCTTCCCATATGGCCATAACAGCCACAGCTGGGCCAAGCCAAAGCCAGAAACCAGGAACCCCATCTCTGGGTGTGCTAGATGGGATGGCAGGGGCCTGAAGAGTTATCAGGGACCAGCGCAGTGGCTAGCAGGCTAAACCTTATAAGCCTGTGGCACCAGCATCACATACAGGTGCTGGTTCAAATGCCAACAGCTCCATTTCAGACCTAGCTTCCTGTATCAGGCTTGGGAAATCATCAGAAGATGGCCCAAACCGTAGGCTCCTGCATCCATGTGGGAAACCCATAAAAACCCGGCTTCAGACTGGCCTAACTCTGACTGTTAACGGCCATTTGGAGAGTGAACAGTGGATATAAGCTCTCTCCTTTTTCTAAAGATTTAAAAAAAGTTTTCATTTTGACACACGTGTTTATTCTAGGTATCCATAGAGGGGGAAACAAATGCAAAAAAAAAAAAAAAAAGACATTCACCAGTCTTTTTAAAATTTGGTTCTCCTTCCATACCTGGTTTCATGAGAGCTGTATTCAGATCAAATTCGATTAGGCCTGAATTATCAGTATTTTAGTTTGATTCAAGAGTTGTGAAGTCCTAAATTACTGATCAAATGCATAAGATTGCGAAGATGATGTAGGCAGGATTACAATCTGACCACACCGGAATAGAAGCGAGGAGGCCGTGTAATGAGCATTGAGGCATTTAGAAGGGCCAGCCACAACCTTAAACCTCACATGTATGGGGCCCGGCGCAGTGGCGCAGTGGTTAAGGTCCTCGCCTTGCACGCCCCGGGATCCCATATGGCGCCGGTTCTATCCCAGCGGCCCCTCTTCCCATCCAGCTCCCTGCCTGTGGCCCGGAAAAGCAGTCGAGGACAGCCCAAAGCTTTGGGACCCTGCACCCGCGTGGGAGACCTGGAAGAGGCTCCTGGCTTCGGATCGGCATAGCATCGGTCGTTGCGCTCACTTGGGGAGTGAATCATCGGGCGCAAGATCTTCCTCTCTGTATATCCACCTTTCCAATAAATTAAAAAAAAAAAAAAAAAACACCTCACATGTACGGTCAATGGGAAGTGTCCTATCTACCCACCTGTGGGTAGAATAAACTGAAAAGGACCAAAAAGTGAATGATTCTTTAAAGAGATGCTTTCATTTTAGGGCTGTGGAGATGAGTGAGAAAAGTAAACTCTAGAAAATTGCAATGATCTAAAATTGGTACTTTCCAACATCACTGATAAGAGGTGTGGAGACAGAGGTGTAAGATGTGGCATTGGACAGCTACATTCATGGGTGTCCGTGCCATTTCTGCCCATCTTTCTCTTGGTTTAGGTTGCTGATTGAAAGGATTTCAAGTTCTAACAATTTGAATATATGATGTGAAATGTGCAAGACTGTATCTGCTCCTTTGAAACACTTGGGATTGTCCTTCATCTGCCAGCACAGAACCCTGGGGTGTCTAACCTCCCACCTACCCCCTCCAATCTGGGTGCAAGATCAGGAGTAAAACAGGGAGGCATCTGCTTACAGGCATGTTAATTTGCCTGGCTAGGACCAGAATCCTGGTCTTGTGACTCCTGCACTATCTCATTCTGCCCTTGCCACAAGAACACCATGAAGGGCCACTGACACCAGTGAGGGTGCTTTACAAAGCATGAGCTGTGAAGGAGCAGGCATGAAAGCCAAGTGGGGTCGATCCCCCATGCTTTCCCTCTCCTGCCTGTTGAAGCACACACGAGTGATTGCAAAGCAGAAATCCTCAACAATGAGATCACGGCTCACATGTCATCTTGGTGTTCCATCAGGATGAAATTTGCCTAAGGAGTTGAAATTCCACTTGCCTAAAGAATGCAGATTACCAGAAGACCTCAAAGAGCCTGTGGCAGGGAAAGCTCGGGTTGGGACTGCACAGTTGCAGTGAGTTGGAGCCCATTGTTGAGGGGGGCAATCAGCCCCTTTGCAGGCAGGGAGTTTGCTAAATTGTGTTGGCAGCTATAGCCCAAACTAATTACCCTAGCTCTGTCTGCACAGCCGGGTCGGCTGTCTGGACCAAGGCAGTGTTGACACCTAGAGTATAAACACCTCTTTGCGGGGCATTTTCATCTCACTGGACTTTTCATTTGCAAAGGGGGGGACAGTGTGCCTAGAAGTGTTGTTATTTTATAGGGCATTCGCTCACTTTTCTAAGAATTTCTTTTCCCTATAAATTTGGAAAGTTGTAGACTTTAGCCTTTTTAGCACTCTGGGAAAGGCTTATCAGCCAAGACAACTGACCTGCGCCCTAGGAGGCTGTTTGAAAGGGCTCCGTAGGTTAGATACGTTTTAAATACAAATGCAGGGGCCCGGAGCGGTGGCGCAAGTGGTTAAAGGTCCTCGCCTTGCACGCCCGGGATCCCATATGGGCGCTGGTTCTAATCCCGGCAGCCCCGCTTCCCTTCCAGCTCCCTGCCTGTGGCCTGGGAAAGCGGTCCAGGACGGCCCAAAGCTTTGGGACCCTGCACCCGCGTGGGAGACCCGGAAGAGGCTCCTGGCTTCGGATCGGCATAGTATCGGCCCGTTGCACTCACTTGGGGAGTGAATCATCGGACGGAAGATCTTCCTCTCTGTCTCTCCTCTCTGTATATCCGCCTTTCAAATAAATAATAATAAAAAAATACAAATGCATTTGAAATGACCAAGTTAGAAGGTAAAGATTTATTTTTATTAT